GAAGTTACACGGTAATTTTTACAGTTGGCTAACGGTAACGACAGCAAGCTACTGGAACTTGCTGTCAATGTTTGTATGGTGTTGTTGCCATAGAGACGATGTAGCCAAGGAAAAGGTCACATTTCTCTGCCATAAGACATATGGCAGGCTATTGTATATTTAATACACACAGCCTTAAATGAAAATTATGCTGAGACATTTTGTCAGATTTGTGTCTGAAATGCATTTTAATATCTGTAAAAAAAAACAAACAAACAAAAAAAACAACAACAACATACAACTTACAGCTATATAACAACTATATAGGTAACCTTTAGAATGACACAGAGATACATCAACAGCAATTGTTGTTGTGCCCCTATTATTTGCCCGGACACCAGCCAGTAGGCCTACTCTAGAACTGAAGTGACTAGTTGAATATTTGATGAGTTGAATCAACAATTGATTTAATTTCTCTCTTTAAGAAAAAATGCCAAGAAGTCTGTAGTACCAGCCTATCAAATGTGACTATTTGCCAGTTTCCAAGTTTTCTATGGGGGGTTACAATTAAATACATTATGGACGTATGTATTATTAGATTCTATGGCTTTAGTTTTAGATAAGCAAGTTTAACACAAATGTACAAAAGCACAGGTGTTACTAATAACATTAATGAAGCATTCACAATACAGCACCCTGAAGCTTAATGGAATTCAGACTTCATTAGTTTTATTATTTACACCTGTGCTTCTCCTACTCACATGTCAAATGTCCATCATCACATAGTCAAAAGGCACACCTGAGTTTATCACAAATAATTCATGTACAACATGTACATTTTGACAACACAGAGACATGACATAAAAACTAAACCTCTTAGCATGTGTCCCAACAACGTTAAGACATGGGCTAATAATAATATTTGTATCCTATACAAAATGTACTGGACATCTCTGGGATAGCAACACTGCCCATTTTTATAGAAAGAGATTAAACTTCTGTCAATTTCAATGATACTAAACATGGACAAACATCCTTACATTTGAGAGACAGGAACCAACAAATGTTTAACATTTTGTTATCCATCACTGGTAAATAGTGTTGGCAATTACGTTTCTGTCTGTTGGGTAATTGATTAATGAACTTAGAATACTAATAACATTCAGAATACTGTTGGACTGTTTTTCAAGTTTGTCTCACTCACTGAAAAATTATCACCAGCTTAATGCAACTGTTTTAATTAACACTCTTTCCCTTATTAGCATTTTACATTACATTACATTTACTTATTTGGCATATGCTTTTATCCAAAGCGATTTACAAGTGAGGGACATCACTAAAGCTTTACCAACAGCTATTGCTTTTTTTTTTTTTAACTTGGTGGCAGTTCTGTGTTTTAATTAATCAACGACTCAATGACTGTGACAGATTATAAAATACACATGTCTGTTCATGCTCACCAACTTCTGGACTGACACAGAATGGCTGTACTTGTCTTGTAATTACAGCCTTCTCATGCTGGGCTCTATCAAACAGGATCTGTTTGCACTTGATCTCCTCCCACATGATGACATGAGATACATTTGGCTTCTGTCAGCAGCATTGTCCATGTTGTCCTGAAAAGAACTATGTGTTACTTGCTGCCATGTCCACAGTTGTTTTTTGCTGTAGTTATGAGAAAACCACTAAGATCAACGTAAATGCAGTTGGCTTACATCTCTGAAGAAGCCCATCCAACAGAAACAATGTAAAGTTAGCTCAGGTCATGATTCAAGCTCCAAACCACTGAATTCTCCCCATCATCTTGTTCAACTTTCTGCAGGAGTCTGAGAGTGACCATGTAGATTATTCATGAAACGAAAAAGTAGATATCGCAAAAGTGTTGGGTGTAGCTACTGTAAACTGAATCATATAGGGTCGCTCTCTGCTCTGGCATCATGAACAGAGTTTGAAGACTAAATTTAAAGGTAATTACTATGACAGTGAGGAGAGAAAACTGAAATAACCCTGAGCTTTTCAAAGCTGTCATTATCACTGGAATTGTAATGACAAGGTTTGGGTCTCTTCAATGGACTTTTTGGGGTAGGACACCCACAAACATGGCATTCCTGAGGGTAACATTGCAGCATATTAATGATATATTGGACAGTGTAGATTACAAAGCTGGGGTCCCTTTTCATGCTTTACGGTTTCAGTTAACTTGAAACAAAATACCAAACCTTGTCTTGAAACTACTTCTTGTTTCAAACATTGTGCTTGTAATGTGCTGTGTCATGTTGTAGAGGGACAGTTTACATACAATTTAAACAGTAGCAGTACGCATCCTAACATCCTTGGTAACATATAGATTTTTCAGTAGTTTAGTTTGTTGTATGTTATTCTAGAGGGAATATTCAAAAATGATAAAAATTTCTTTTGTAAAATATAAATTCAAATGAAATCTTTCTTGGAGATCCTATTGCATCATATTATAATTGCAAAATAAAGTAGGTGTGAGTTTAAAACATGATTCATGCACCAAATGCCCTGAGGTGGATTGCAGCTGTCCAAACACTGAACATTATCCGTATTAATTGCTATATTAACCACAGGATGTGTCTGAACAGTAACAGCAAGAAAAGAACTGACAAAAATTTCAAATTGAAACACATATTGCAGACAAAACATGACCTCTTTAAAATTTCTTATAGGACATTTTTATTCAGATTTAATTAGTCACATTATCACACTGTTAACATGCAACCAAGAGATCTATGGGCACTAGCCAGTGAGAGGTCCTGGACATGTATGCTTTGATAGGGGCAAACGACCATTCTGGTGAGCCACAGGATTGAAAAAAGTAGCCACAGTATTTAGAAAAAAGGAAGGAGGAAAGAAAGTCCAATATTTTTAGTCCAAATTACAGTGTTGGAACAGAGCTTTGCACAGTAGAGTGTCCTGGGAGTGGAGTGGCATGGTGGGTGGACGCTGGTGCCAAGCCCCACCCTCCCCACATTGTCCTCTCTGTGGACTTCCTGCACTTTTTGTGCCTGTCTGCAGGACCTCTGTCCTCCCCTTACCTTTCTGGATAGGCTGACTGTCAGCTTGCTTTCTGCCTCAGCCGCCTGCTGCATGAGGTGAAAAAGTTTCATGTAAGCACATGTTAAGTCAGGGTTGGGACGGGGTCAGTTCCCTAGGGATACCTGAATTTCTAGACTACCAGCGCCTTGTCTTTCAGATCTCTGTCGTCTTTCTGTTGATACAAAGTGGGTGAAAAATATCACAGCCCAGTACAAATCTCAGTTCATGTAAGGTCTTGGAGTTGATGTGCCCCTGTGCTCCACTGCTGTTGGATGTCTCTGCATCCTGCAGTTAAAGCCAGTAACTCTGAACATTACATGAGAGAGCATTAAGTGATACACTACAGCATGGCTCATGATGCTGTGCCAAACACCCACCTAAAGCGGAGAAACAGCCACTCATGCTTTTCATGCATTCTCTCGTGAAACGTGCCTTGCTGCCCAAATATTTTTCCCTTGGAAAGGCTGTGGTTAACACAGGGATGAGTGGGAGTGAGATGATTGCTAACATTCTTTTAAGTTTTATGCCAGCTGGAGTGCAGGTCACATTTGCATTTTTTAAGGTTGGTGAAACTGCTGCAGTGGATTTAATGTGGTGATTATTGCAGGATCATGAAGAGGAGGGCGAGAGAATTTTTATTATACATGCATGATTCATTCAAGCTACTGAACATGAGTAGTTAGTAGAGGTGGTAATACATAATAAAACAATACATTCTCTCTAGTATGAGTCTCAAAAGGTCTCACGGACCTCGGTTTGAGTTTCTGTAATTTATTTATTTTGTTTTCCACAAAGCCCCAAAATATTGAAACAGAGCATCACTCACCAGCACCAGTAAAGGTTTATTCCAATTGAAGAAAATGGAAAATTTTAATATTTGATTTGCTTCTTATAAAACTGCAGTAATTAATGTGAAAACTCTGCAAATTTCCCTTTATAACTACTCAGTAGAAACTTACATGACTCCTAATTTAGGCAGTGGCCAAATTCGAGCACTTGTCAAGTTGTGAAAGTCCAAAGAGTTGTAGGGTGAAGGAATCTCTGAGTCAGATTACTATACAAGTCTTAAATACACTCATAAAAAGTATTTTAAGACCCTTTCTTTTGAATTTCTTCACTGTGGACCATTCATAGCCATTCATTTTGACTTCTTTATAAACCCCATTCTCCTTTCCTACGAGATTTTTTTGGCTCCAGAGTAACCAGTAAAGATGAGGAGGGGAAAAACATAGCCAAAAATAATTCTCCTCCTCCTCTTAAAAAAAAAAAAAAAAAAAAAAAAAGGGGAAAAGCTTGTGGGAGGGAGGGGGGCCTAATTTAGGCAGTGGCCAAATTCGAGCACTTGTCAAGTTGTGAAAGTCCAAAGAGTTGTAGGGTGAAGGAATCTCTGAGTCAGATTACTATACAAGTCTTAAATACACTCATAAAAAGTATTTTAAGACCCTTTCTTTTGAATTTCTTCACTGTGGACCATTCATAGCCATTCATTTTGACTTCTTTATAAACCCCATTCTCCTTTCCTACGAGATTTTTTTGGCTCCAGAGTAACCAGTAAAGATGAGGAGGGGAAAAACATAGCCAAAAATAATTCTCCTCCTCCTCTTAAAAAAAAAAAAAAAAAAAAAAAGATGGGAAAAGCTGTTGGTAGGCAGGTAGTCCGTCTCCAGCTCCGCTCACAGGAGGGGGGACTCCTGATGGAGTTGGGATGGACCGCCACAGGATTGGTGGATGGCTGCTCTCGGTGTGGCCCCATGCCAAGCCCTTATGTCTTTATAAACTGTAAACAGATGACCGGACAGTCCTGAGTGTGCACCGCATCCACTCTGCCTCTGTCCATCCCCACTGCTCTCTCGTCAGGGCCTCTCTCAGTCTTTAACTCCAGCATCCACCAAGGCTTCTTCTCCTCAGCTCGCCTTCTGTTCAGTAACTCCAGCTGTCTCTTCTCTACGGCTGAGAAAACAATGGCCACGCCGAGCCTGCTCCTCACTTTATCCGTGTGGCTTCTGGCTGGGAGCCTCATAGCGGAGGCGACTTACTACCGGCACCACCGCTACGTCCCCCACTTCTACCGCTACCGGGAGCACTCCGCTAACACGGAGAACCTCCTCCCTGAGGTCTCCAACCCGGTGCGTGAAGTCTCGCAGCCCGGCGTGCCGACCTACCCCGAGATCCCCGAAGTCTTCCACCCGGCGCCCGAAGTCATCCCCCCCATTCCAGAGGCTTTCCACCCGGTGCCCGAAGTCGTACATCCTGCACCTGAGCCTTATCACCCACCTGAGGTTTACCAGCCAGTCCCTGAAGCCTCCTCCCCCGTCAACATGAGTCGGGTTTTCCATGGGATCATGTTTGACGCTGGGAGCACAGGCACCAGGATCCACATCTATAAGTTCATCCAGAAAGACCCTGGTAAGTGCACCACTCTCTCTCTCTCTCCTTCCCTCCCTCTGTAAACCAATAGTAGGGCTTTGCACATGCAGTTGGCTCCCACTCTGTTTGCCTGCTGTTAGGTCATTCACTCAGTGGTGTAAGGACAAACACGCAATAGCAAAGTGCATGGGCAATACAGTTTCTAAAAGTAGCTAAGGTGGACATTTAATTTGCCTGTCTGACTCAACTGTGTAGGAAGCAGACCTCTGAAACTGAACCAGGATGTAGGTGAAGTGCTGCAGTCTAAATATCACGTGTTGTAAAAACAAAAAAAAACAAACAAAAAAAACTATGCAATTACATATACTGAAGTTTCTTTTTGTATATCCTCAAATGTTATACTGTTACCTCTCTGGTTTACGATCTGTATACTGACTTCTTTTTTAGTTGAGCTGCCAGTTCTGGACAATGAAATGTACCATGCAGTGAAGCCTGGACTGTCTGCTTACAAAGACAACCCTGAAGAGGTATGTATGCATGTTTACACCATCACTTATTATTAATTATCACGTATATTAGGGAGTTGTTCACTGTCTGCAAACCACCAAACCACTGGGATTTTCTTTGGGTTGGGCTCATGTGATGTAAACACATTATAATTACAAAAATGCGTCCTGCTGATGCTGTCACTACTGCCCACTCCTGTCTGCTGTATTTACCTACCTTTGACTTCAACAAGACTTTAATACATGTATTTGTTTGATTTTAAAATATGTCTTTCTCTCTGCTTTCGGATTGGCCGCAAATGTTAATTTTGCTGCCTGTAACTGATTGCTGTCTCTTCTGCAGGGTGGCAACACCATCCGACAGTTGCTGAAGATTGCCAAGAAGACAGTCCCAGAGGAGGAGTGGAGGAGGACCCCGGTGGTCCTGAAGGCCACGGCGGGTCTGCGTCTGCTGCCTGAAGACAAGGCCAACACTCTTCTGAAGGAGGTGAAGCACGTTTTCTCTCTGCCCTCAGACAGTTTGGCACAGACACCACCCGTCCCGCCAAGGAACGGGATGAGAAACCACTAAGTGCTTACAAGTGTCACAGAAAAAAAGAGAAGGCAGCAAGTCTGCCCGTTTGGTGGCTATCATGTTGCAAAAAAACAGCTGTTGTGGGGTTGTGTGGAGTAACCATATTTGTCATTTAAAGTATTAAATCCAGGCTTCTGTTCCAGCCATGTTTGTGGTTGAGTTATCTGTCACTCTAAAACAGAACAGTTTGACTGCCAGAGTCTGGAGCAGAGTGTATGGCTGTGTAATTTAGTGTGATGGCATTGTTTTAAGACATAGGTAGTAGGTAATTCAAATGAAATGATGATACATGTCTTCCACAGGTACGAGAGGTATTTGATGAGTCCCCGTTCTTTGTGCCAAACAACAGTGTTTCCCTCATGAACGGAACAAATGAAGGTAGGTTATCTTTTATTACATGTTTGTGCTGTGTACATTATACTCTACATAAAAATGATACTTTTGGTGATTTTTGACTGAGATATTGTCTGGCCAGGTGTTTTTACTGCCTCATTCACTGAAGATGTATCAAACAGTGCTGCTCTCATAATTCTTTTTACAAGAGGTCTGTTACTACATCGTTGAGACAAATAAATATGCCAGTGTGAGTCGCTGTCCCACACCCAATAATTTAGTGCGATCCTCCACATCACTCATTAAGACACCCTCACTATGTTGTGTTTCATCATAACTATGTGCCATTCATTATCCTCACTTTATGAGTGCAATAACTTGACATCTGAGACAATTGTAATTACCTGGGCTGGTCTGCAATCCTACATGTTAGACCAACACTGGTACTTTAATATCAGCCTAATGAAGGAGAACATGACTAAACGTCATCTCCAGTTTATTTATGTGAGCTTGAGTATGTTTGAATGGGAAACTTTAGCATGGGCCAGTTGTAATCACCTCTCAGGTTTTTGCTAATGCAGACATTTTCACCCATGTGCTCTTTTAGGAATCCTCGCCTGGGTCACAGTGAACTTCCTTACAGGTAAGACATTGCTTGTGTTTTGCTATGGTAGTGTTAGTGGTTAGGAGGCTCATATCTGAGGCTCCAGTGTACACAGAAGTCTGGCAGTGAAAGACTCTTGTCTCCTGTCTGAGGTTATGAGCTTGAATCACTGGCCCCACTCAGTTTGCAAAACCAAGCAATATTTCCTCACATTTTTCACACATCTATGGCACCATCACATTTATTTTAAACAACAACAACAACAACCTTAAGCTCTAAACCAATAATGTATTTTCCCTCTTGGTGGGCAAAACTTTATCTGTAAGCATGCATCAATCTGACACCAGTGGCTGTAACAAGAATACATTCTAACTAAAACTGAAGACACAGGATCACACAGTATGCTGTTTGTTGTACTGATGGTGAATAGCAACTTTCCTTCATTCAGTTTGATGAGTGTAACTTTGTGCTTATTTGCCACAGGTCACTTGTACTCCAACACAAGGAGGACGGTGGGGATCCTGGATTTGGGTGGAGGATCTACACAAATTACATTCCTTCCTAAGTCAAAGGTGAATTAAACATTTGATGTAGTAAATACAGCTATTTAGAAATGTTGTAAACAAAAACAAAAACAAAAAAAAACACAACTAAATGTATGTTGTTTATCCAACAGAAAACGGTTCAGTCTGCTCCTTCCAGTTACATTGCAAGATTCAACCTGTTTAACCATACATACCAACTCTACACACACAGGTAAATAACAAAGATGCTATATTCTCTATGGATTTTGCCTATGAAAATTCACTTATTATTATTCTGTAGAGTAAAAAAAATGTATCTATCTAAAAACTTACCATAATTGTATGTGACAATCCCGTAGTTACCTTGGAAATGGACTGTACGCGGCTCGACTGGCAACTCTCGGAGCACTAGGAGCTGATGGTAGAGTATCTAGTACCTTTTATCACCCTTCTTCTTGCACTCATTCTTTCCCTAAATGCAGTCATTGGAAAATGGCAAACAGTTATTTGTTTTTCCCAGGTCTTGATTGGAAAGTCTTCACAAGTTCCTGCCTCCCAAAAAAGTTCAGAGAGGATGTGACTTTTGGAGGAACCAGCTACAAAGTTAGCGGTATTCCAGACGGTAAGATAAAAGCACTTTGAGGTTTTGATTGCCTTCCCAGTGCCTTGGGTCCAGCATTCCTTTCTTTTCTCTGGAAAACAATAGAGTACAGTATAATACAGTCTCACATGAGGACATTTGTCCGCTGAAGTTCCTGTAACCTTGGCGCCAAACACATGTTTTGTCATACTCTCTCTCTCTCTGTTTTCCCTCTTGAACAATTATACTGCAGTCAACCTTGTATTTAAACGAAAAGAAAACTGTCAGTTAACTTCACAAATAAGGCAGTCACTCCCATACCACAGTCAAGTAGCCAAAAGATGCTGGGCTTGTCCCTGAGTTGTTATTTTTTTTGTGTAACGAGCGGCTTGATCTGGACCGCTCACAATTATGTGGTAAAAATAGACAGCGCTAACTGCCGCTCTTGTCAGCACATGGTTTTGCCGGTACAACTGCCGGCACAACTGTGCCAATCATGGGACTGTGTGAAAGTTGTCTTTCTGGGGCTTCCCTTGGTGAGCCCCCAGCTTCAACATGTGGCTGACCTCAAACTGAGGCTCCAGACTCTTCCGATTGTATTCCATCCATGCAAGTTTAACTGACTGGTTACTCCACATATTTCATCACTTAGTTAAATTATTCTGTTACAAAACTACATCTTTCACCTTGTCTTTCTTCAGGCTATGCAGGCTATAAGCTGTGCTACTATGAGGTGATGAAGGTAATCAAGGGAATAGTGCACCAGCCTTACGAGGTGAAGGGCAGCAGTGTGTTCTACGCTTTCTCCTACTACTTCGACAGAGCTGTGGAGTCTGGCCTCATCGGTGAGTGGGCACAGACCAAAGAGTCACCTTCCAGTGCTATTATCTTTCATGCTAATCATCATCTTTTTCACAAAGTAGGTATTCAAATTGCATGTTTGTTTTTTCCTGCACAGATGGCAGTCGAGGAGGTTCGCTTGAAGTTAGGGATTTTAAGAAGAGAGCCAAGGAAGGTAAGAGTTACATGTTATCTTCTCTAGGGTTGGATAAACTTGTATGAAACCAACAATCTTACAAGTTATATATATATCAGTCAGCCACTGAAACTTCATGCAAAACAGTCCATGCTCTAAGTAAAAGCACTAGCTTGTTTTTGCACAAAACACTCTGTACGATGGCGCCAAATTGGCACACCTTATCCTGTCAAAAAAGAATTTATTACAACAGTAAAATGTAACCGATTATTTGCTAAAATGTGTTATGGAGGCAGATTATAAGACAAATGTAGTTTATTTTCGAGTAAATGTATGTTAACGTCACTATAAAAGATTTTAGTATGTTTTACCGATACACACCATGCTTATCAGTTCAACCTTGTGACACTTGTAATGTCCGTGTAGAACCAGATTTATAGCAAGTAGGAATGAGTTGGTGTGTTATATAAAGCTGTTTGTGTTGTGAGAACACTGTCACATGGTCTTGAGGAACAAGTCTGGCTCAGGCTGGGCTGGCAGCTGAGCTGAAGATGTCTGTCTGGCCCAAGCAGGAGGGCACCTGACAGCCACACAATACCTGGGGGCTGACACATGCTGAAACAAACACACACACACATCCACTGTACTAGGCACCGCCACCCACCCGCAGCCTTGTGCTGACCCTCAGCCACTCTCCTCACACCTCCCTGTTTATTCAGCCAGACAAAACAGAAAGGTCATCTTTTAATCATGTAGCACAGGGGTTAGAAGAGGTGTTTTTTTTTTTTGTTCATACATGGAATGTGTCTCTATCATATGATGCAACAAATGCTTTTTTGTCAGATGTGTGTGAAACCTGTGTTAATGTCATGTCTCAAACCTGTGGCTTTTTGTGTTCACAGTGTGCAACAAAATGACCAAATACCGTGCTATCAGCCCCTTCCTCTGCATGGATATGACATATATCACTTGTCTGCTAAAGGAGGGCTTTGGCTTCAAGGACAACACTGTGCTGCAGGTGAGCAAATCAGAGCCAGGTTACTGTGGACAGTGAATGTGGGAGTCAAAGGAATACACAATATGAAAGGCTGCACGACAAACCTTCACATTCTTGCTGTGCAGTATTTCACAAGATTACAACAATTTTCAATCTGCATGACAGTAGGTGTTGGAAATTCTTGCGTCTCTGTGGTTTTGATGGAATTCCTCCTCTCACTCTGTTCAACAGCTCGCCAAGAAGGTGAACAACGTGGAGACAAGCTGGGCCCTGGGGGCAACCTTTGACTACTTCAGAAACCTCAACATCCACTAAGGACAGCTTGCTGTCGCAGCAGCCGGCACTGAGAGGGACAGTCTGTCACTGTGGGGTGTCCCTTCCTCCATCCACCCATCTGATCAGCCCGTCCCCTCACAGACACACCCGGTCCCACCACCATGCTCCCTCACCCATCATGCCCCTCCTCTTTTCCTCAACCTCAGCACCCTGCAAACACTCCGAGAACTGTTGAAAAAGAAATCACTATATTTTTATAAGGCCAGCTATTTCTACTGTATGTTGAGCTCATAACTGGTGGGCTGACTTTATTTTTGTAAAACGTTTACATTTTTGATTCCTTATGGGTGTCTGATCTGAAATGTCTTTTTCACCTACCTGTAAAGTGTGTAGAGGGGAATTTAGAAGCAGTACAACCAGTCATGGTGTTTTGGTGCTTACTGTGGTCCTGGTGTGCACTGTACAGTACAGTTGAAAACCTCTAACTAACTTTAACTTCTTTTTAATTCCAGCAGTAAATGATCATACAGGACCCTAATTCATCGTCAAGACATCATTGGAAATCGAGCAGATGAAAACCACACAGCTTCTTTTCTTCAACTTTGCACATAACACTTTATTTGCAGATATTGTAGCTAAGACGTGATCAGGTTTTTTGATGTCGATGAGAGAGTTGTACATACTCATCACTAGTGTTGGATTCATTGTCACTCGGGGGCAGAGAGAGCGCTGTGGGGAGATGCCTTTCACAGACAAGTGTTGTACAGCTTTTACAAGTATGAGGTTCATGCCTGTATTTTTCAAGTTCAGCCATTATTGTTTGTTTTGTCTAGAGTGGAAAAGACCTTATCAAGCACGGCTAAATTGCAGGGGCCTCAGGTCTGAACTGTATTTTAGACCAGCAAAAGAAAAACCTCTCAAGGGAAGACACTGCATCCAACAACATCATTTACAGCTATTAAATGCAACAAAAATGTAAACAGAAATTATGTAAAAAAAAAAAAAAGTTTAAGACACCCATGAGTCCTTCACTTGATGCTGGTTGATCAAAAACATTAGTAATATTGAATTCTGTTTGTCATTTTTCTTGTGAACTGTACAAATATTTAATTACTGAAAGTTTTATCTAATGTAGAGTATTTTAAATATCCTCATCAAATATTAACTCTTGGACTTTCTGTGTAACTGCTCTCTAAGCCATGCCTTTGCTGTCCTTTCAGTATTCAACATGTTCAATAACTACTGCTGTATATACATAATGTAAACTTATATTAGTGAAATACTTTGACAGGAACGGCTTCTACATTGCGAAAACTTTATGCTGCACAATTGCTCAGAAATGCCTCTATGTTCATCAGTATGAATAACCTGATGACTGACAATATGTACATTGTTGTTTTTATTAAATCCAGTGGAATAAGTGTATACTATACATGTATGTTTTAATAAAACATCAAAAATGCTTTGTGTATCGTTCCACTTAGTTGGATCAACAGTCTTTCTCATTAACTTTGTGTATGATATTATCCATGACTGTACAGTCTACAGTTTCCTCAGAAGGAAGTGCTTCACATATCATAGTAAGGTGCTGTACTTGAATTGTATGTAATATGTAATATATGTCTATGAATTGTAGTAATAGTAAAAGTAAACAATCCTTGTGCTTTTGATATCTTACAATATGCTATGGACAAATGCAAAGTAGTGCACTATTTCTTGAAGTGGATTTATTATGCATCAAAGCACACATGGAAAAAAAATCACAATAGAGTAAAATAAATCTTTATTATATTAGGTTTTTTTTACAGTCAAACTTTTTTTTACAGCCGTTAAACAGTCACTGGAGATCCATCAACGACCACTGCATGATGAATCCATCACTTGCTTGCAAATGCTATGATCTGCTCCTGCAGAGGCAAAAGAGACATCATCTCAAAAACTGTAACCTTTGAATCGTACTTGCTAAGAGCCTGTTACAAATGAGCCGCACTGCAGACCTCTATACAAGACCTGTAAAACCAGTGAAATCACATCATTTAATATGGAAAAGATGTCCCGTTTAACTTTGCGCCTCCATAGTGAAATGCCTTTACAACCAGTTACAGTTGTGTTGGTCTGAATCACTTAGTAGGGAATAAAGCCCTTTCACATGAGTGGTCGGTAATAAAAGGGGTGTGAAAACACAAGCCAACACCGCTGTCCGCTGCCCCAGGGCCAGCCCTGCACCCCACCCACACACTTTTGGTAACACTAAATTTGGGGCTAAACTTAGATGCCATAGTAGTAGGTTCAGAACCCTGGAAATTATAGACACCGCTAAAGTAAAGCTCTGTGTAATCAGAAAGGAGGGTGGAGAGTGAGTACAGAGTGGAGGCGGAGTTTAGGTTTGACAGGTGGTTGATATTATCTGAGTGGTGGCCAGGTTCACTGGGATGTACAGGAGGTCATGTTTGGAAGCAGAGGCTAGAAGAGAGGGAGCTTACTTTTAGTGCTGGGAGCATGTTGGTGGCCTGCAGACCCAAGGTGCGTAGGAGAACCACAGGAACAGAGTTAGTGGAATAGAGGCGTTTCATGAGGTCAATGGCAGCCATCATGGGCAGATTGTGCCGCTGACGCTCAGTTTCATATTCTAAAAGGTGCTGCATTGCTCCTGCACAAACAAACAAAGACTTGGGGTTAAAACTGTGGACTTAGTTTAAATGTGTGCATGTCTGTCATATGTTTTCTACATTAAGTCATGGTGCTATTTTGATTTCAGGACATTTAACAGACGGAAAAATAAACACAATATCTCATAACAGAATTTCCATTTTTATGAAAAGCAACTTACATACAGTTCCTGGCAGAATGTGCAGAAAAACATCAAATAAATGTTGCCGGAAAAGCTGATGCTTTTTATAATTCAGATCAACAGCATGCATTTCAGCAGGGGTTACGGAAAAGAGCTTAGGAGAAACCACTGTGCTATAGTTGCAGCGCTCGTGTCTGTTTAGAATTCTCACTGACCCAGGTCCTTCCCGTTAAAGGCCGCCTGGCTCAGGAGCTGTGTGAGGGAAGCCACATCCCCAAAGCCTAGGTTGGCTCCCTGACCCGCCAGAGGATGGACACGATGGGCTGCATCCCTGCAAAGGCAAACATATCCTCCACTATCCAAACACACTCACTGCATGGTGGGCTATTTTTTATGCACACTGTAAAAACAAAAAGTCATTCCCGTACTTGTGAAGCAAGAGATTAAATGAATGTAAATACGTAAACAATTAACAGCACTAACATTTACTCAAGATGATTTTTAGGACTTTTTTAATCTCTCATTTCATATGATATCATGTGCAGGCAAATACTTTCTGCACACTATCTTACCCAATCAGAGCCACCCGGTGCCTTATGTACTCTGATGCGTGACCCATGCCCAGTGGGAACATGACTCGGGTCTTTGGGCCGATCCCTGCCACACTTGGAGGGAGCTGTCGAGGTGAACCTGCAGACGGCATGATGGTCGACAGGGCGCCACGGAAAAGAGAGCCAGCCGTCTCAATCAGCTCTGACTGGTTCTCATTATTCCACTGTCAGTACACACACAGACAGGCAAGAAGACAGAGACATAGTCAGAGAGAATGAAAAATGGCCAGAAGAGAGAGAAAACAGACATTATCCCTTTTGAGTGGACAAAGAAATTAGCTGACATAGGAGCAAAGCTGAACTCCAGGCCAACGAAAGTGCTTTTTTTCCCCTCCCTAACTAACTGGTTTGGCAGGGCTTCGGGAGCTGGGCTAATTAAAAGAAGATGCCGGCCAGGCTATGCAGTTGAATTAGCTCTGTTTGAAAAACATTCCATGCAGTAATGGTCGACACTGGGAGACCACAGGTTTAATTAGCAAACCAGGCCTGAAACCAAACGTGACTCAACCATGCTGACCCCGTCCATCAGCAGGCCCAGTAAAAATAGCCAGCTTGGGAAAAGGAGTTTCTCCAAACATAAAAAAAAAAAATGGATAGGTATATCATTCCCGGAGTGAAATATTAGTATTGTATAAAGTCTGGCCAAAACAATGACAATATTGTTTGTGTGAGTCACTGGAAACACCTCAACATGTGCGTAAGTCTATGGAGAACCCCTGCCACAAACAGTACACTAGACACAAATACAGAAAATGCTGCACAAATGTTGCCTAGTGACAGATCTGAACGTAAATACAACATCAGCTGTTTAACGGATAGAGCGAGACTTACGAAGGCAGAGTTGATGGCGTCGACAAAGCTCTCCTCATCCAGCTCCAGCAGCTCCTCAGCGAGCCGATGGCTGGTTGACCACACCAGAGAGCTCTCTGTGTCCGACAGCTGCGGAGCACAGAGCATGGATGCTGAAGCTTCATCAAATGCTTATGTGATAGATTGACATTTTACAACAACTACTACCACAGTAAATGATGTAGATATATTACCGGTAACATAGCAATGGGTCCTGTTGGGAGGAACCTCTGCCATGCAACATTGTTCTCTGTGGGCTGTCGAAGGCATAAATTAAATCAAATTAAATTTTATACTAAAATTGTTTGGCATTGTACAGCTATATTTCAATTACATGTATTGCACATAAAAACAAAATATTATAAAGGGTGCTGCTGGGTGGGTGTATTGTTCTCTGCATGCTGACAGAAGTGACATTAAAATAACTATAATAATAAAAACAAAGAGTAAATGAACTCAGTAACATACAATAATGCTTGCTTAAATATTTTTGTGTGCAAATTATACACATTATAAAAAAGTATTAAGAATCACACTGTATGCCTGTGTTGAATGTGATACTCACTTCTGATAGGTGTAGCACAGCAACAACAGCAGACTGGTCATAATTCCATTTGACTGTGGGTATTCCTAATTCCCTTCTCACCATTGAGTTTGGTCCATCGGCACCAATCTGAAAAACAGATGAGAAAAAAGGAAAACAGTAAAAACCAAAAAAAGGAGAAGGACAGAGGGACAAGCAGAGTTTATGTGATGGAATCAAACTGACCAGCAGCTTGGTCTGAAGAGTCTGTCCGCTGGCCAACGT